CCCCAAAACCCCAAAACCCCAAAACCCCTCTTTTTGTTAAGGTAATTGAATTAAAACTTGTTAATAAATAAAGTGAATATTTTATTCAGAATATTTTCTTCTCTTTATTCTTCTGTCCTCTCTAGAAATCATTACTGAAAATATTGATTCGGGAGCCTTCTCACTTTCAAGTTTATCAAGATTCTCAGATATCTCTGGAAACTCATTATTTGGGTATGTGTCTAAGCAAGATTAGAGAAATCAAGTAATTTGATTATACTTACCAATAGGAACTGAAGAATCTCAGGAGTCATGCCTTCTCATTTCAATGTCTCTAATGAGCGACATGTTGTCCCGTGCTAGGTTTAGATCTAAGCTGATAAAACTGCATACTTACTTTGACCATAGAATTTACCTAAGTTATCATCCAAACTTGGAATGGAATCATTGAATGGGTTTCTGTACGTTGTACCATATTTTCTTTCTTCAGCATCATCTTTATTATTCTCTAAAAACTATTATTCACCTGTTCATCATTTAAATTTACCGGTCACAGAATCTTTGCTCTGACCTTTATAGAAAGGATTTCTAGAATGGAACCTAAACTATCAGAAGGAGAAGTACTTTTTGTAATATCTTTTGTCATGAAAGTTCTCAAATTGGTATCTAGTATCCTCATAATATTCCATCTCTTCTATATTTAGAGAGTCATTGCAATCATCTTCAGCTTTTGCTTTAAATGTTCGATATCTGTCCAAGAAAATACTTCCTGAAAGGAAAAGGTCAATTTCCTCAGTAAGTATCTTCTTGCTAGTCTTAAATTTCCATTTTCTTAAAAACTTTTTCTGGATTGTTGCGTCAGGAAGGTATTCTTCTCCTGTGGCATCGAATGCGTTTTTAATGACTTGCTGTAAAACATCCCTAAAATGGACAAGTTGGCCCTCATAAACAGGTATTTTATACTTAGAAAGCATGAGCATGGCCCTCATGTCTTTTATGGCTAAACCTTTTGATTCATTGAGATAATAAAGACTTCCCTCGATAAAAGTTTTCTTAATTTCATCTTTCCTGAAGAATTCATGATCTTTACTCTTTTCCAGAGCATAAAGCAAGTACATGTTTTCTTGCTTCAGTTTTTTATGAATGTAATCATATTCGTAAGTTTTGCGATATTCTGGGTGATGCTTTCCCATGCCAGCCGGGTAGGAAAGCTCGAAGACTAACATTACCATCTGGTAGACACTAATCCACCCAGTTCCGCTAGGGTCATAATCCGCCCATAATTCTTGGTATTCTTTCACTTGCTGTGTTCCAAATAGAATTTTGTTATACTTTCGAGCTTCTTGGAGAGCATCAATGAAAACACCAATAGATAAATCCAAAATTACAATGGAATTGATGATGAAAAATGATATGAAGAAAGGATAAGCAACTATTGATCCACATCCATGAATACCATCCCTCTGTAGCTCCTCATAGGACTGATTGTTGCTTCACTCTTGGCCTTCGAAAGGATCTGAACTAGCTAGATCATGCATGACAAATATCCAGTCTTCTCCTGTGAGGCATCTTAAAAGAAGCATGAGAGCCTGAAAAATATCTCTGAAATTATTTCGATCATTGTAGTTTTCTTTGTACATCACTGTTCCGAAAAGATTAATTCCCAAAGCAGCATATATGAACAGAATCAGAGCGACTAAGGTTAATACATTCTGAATTTGACTCGCAGCATGTACGAAAGTCAAGATAGTACTTGCTCCATTGTATTGTTGAATAAATCTCAATAGTCTTAGAATCCTGAATGCTCTTAAAAAAATGAAAATACTTTGAAATCCTCCTGCATTAAAAAAAACTAAGAGGGATGGAGAGATCAGATCCAACTAGTCATACGAAATCAAATAAGTTCCATTGATCTCTTGTGAAGTACTGCTTTCCCAGACCAATTATTTTGATAATGAACTCAATGTTGTATAGAATTAAGAAGAAATAGTTGAATATGTTAATCGTCAGAGCATACGAGTCACTCATTCTGGCATAAATCATTGCCAGAACAAGAGTATTTATCACAATACATGAGATCACTACTAGATCGAACCATGTACTAATTCATATTTTGTAGAAGTACCTCCTTGTTTCATTGAGCGGGGCTGTAGTTATTGCTACAGGAGAAGCATTGATTCAAAGGTTTTGAACATCTACCCAAAGCTTGTAATTCTCGGAAGAATAAATTGCTCCTGCTCCAATTTCTTTGGAGGCCTTCATTTTTGTAAATTGGTCTGTGATTACTGCAGTGAAAAGATTGATTAATAAAAACATCCCAAGGGTAATGAATATTACAAAATAAAGGATCATCCATTCATTATTTTTATATTTTGGTTGCTTATCAATACCTATCGAATCAACTCCATCGCTCATGACGTCTATCCAGCCTTCAGAGGTCATTATTGAAAATAAGGTAACTGAAGCAATCAGGACATTATCAAAGTTGCTATCAGAAGTTTTCCATCTGCCTCCAGAGTTATTTCATTCGGTCTTATTCTCTACAGGAATTATCAAAGAATCATCCTCTTTAGAAGTTCAAGAGTAGAAGGCTCCTTTAAAGAAATTCACTCCAAGAATAGCAAATATAAGAACAAAGAGAACCAAGATGATTACCACATTACCAATGGCTGGCAATGAGGATAGTAATGCTTCAATTGCGATCTTCAGACCTTCATTTCGACTGATCATTCTAAGTGGTCTGAGGGCCCGAATCGCTCTCAAGGCTTTTAAGCTATTTAAATTTTCAGTTTCGCCTCCATTACTGGCAATATATGAGAAATAAATGTCGAAAATTGATGTCAGAACTACTATGAAATCAAGTACGTTCCAAGGATTATAGATGTAAGGGGTGATCCCTTGGTAATGATTTAGGATAAATCCAAATGCAATTATCTTCATTACTGACTCTATCATAAAGATACAACTAAAAAGTATATCACAAAAGGATAGGAATGTAGAGAAACCTGTGTTAGGGTCATTCAAGGGTGTATCTATTCATAGCAAAATTCAACTTAAGAGAATAACTGTGATGATGAAATATTCAAAAATTCTTGATATGGTCTTCCTCTTCCGACTAGCGATGATCTTTCCTCTATTAATTTGAATATTCATCAGTGATTGAGACTTTTCCAAATCCTTAAGTCCGTACTTTTCTGGGTTTGACTCCGCTTTCTCAGAGACAACAATATCTTCTGGAGTGGTAACAATTCCAAGCAAGAATTCTCTAAATTGCCAATCTTTATGAAAGATAAATAGAGAGGATTTTCTCATATATTGCCAAACTTTATTTTTATTCTGTCCATCATCAATCTCTGAAAAACCGTAGCTTTCACTTCCACTGGAGCTTACTAATCTCCTCTCTGTCCTCAGCATTCAGTGCTCAGTTTCCTGTATTGAAATTTTTGGCTTTCTAGAATCACTTTTAGAAGAGTTATTTTCCCTCTTTAGATCTTCTTCTTGCTTCTTTTCATCTTCTTCAGACTCTTTGCTCTCATTTTCAGCTTCTTCCACTATTTGTTTCAAATTTTTAGTCGTTGATTTAGTAACTTTCTCTCCTATTGCTGATGCTAGCTTAGATTCTGCAGCGCCGCTATTATTAAGATGACTGCTAGCAGCCCTATTGATAGTTTGAGGGTGATCACTAACATCCTCTTCCTATATTATATTAAAAACACAATATTTTGACTATTCAATGAAGGATTTATGAAGCTTACTAGAAAGTTCAATGAAACATCATTTGCTGAAATCTCTTGTGATTCTTCATCAGAGCTCTTTTTCTCTATTTTCTCCTGTTTTGTTTCTCCAAAAGTGACTTCTTTCTTCTCTAAAGCAGTTAGGGAGCGACTCCTTACTCTTAAAGATTGTGTTATCTGATATATTGCTTAGTGAACTCTTTGCTTTTCCCAGAGATAATTTATTTCTAATGATGAAACAAGTTCTTACAAGTTTAAATGAGGTAATCTGGTTTTTACTGGAAGGTGTATTGAGTTTGTTCCAATTTATAATGCTTCTTTGTGTTGTAAGAGGGTTCTTTTTAGAGTTAATTGCTATGCTCAGAGGGTCTCCATTTGAAGAACTCCCCTTCTCAAATTCACTTCTTGGACTTATCATTCTTGGTGATGTGAGGTTTTTCTGGAGTATTCTTGCATCATGCTTCTTAGTTGATGCCTTACTTCTAATTTTAAGTTTCTCTTTTCCAAATTTCACCTTATCGATATCAATTTCTCCGGTTTCTAGATTAATTTCTCCAATTTTTCTCAGAACTGCTTGCACTGCATGATGAACATGTTTTCCTTCTTCAATTTTTCTTTCAATAGTATCGATAATTTTTCTATTTTTCTGCAATTTTATGTGCTTGGTCGAAGTTTTTCAGAAGTATAGCAACAAGAAGCTGTAGAATAATAATACTTCCCATTACGATCACAACGACAAAGTAGACGGAAGCAAATGGATGCACAGCCCTCATTGCTACATACATTATTTGGTTCCAATTTTCTCCAGTGAGCAGGATAAACACAGATAGAAAAGCATTCTTTATTGTATCAAAGTTGTATCTTATGCTTCGAACATTTGGATCATAGTTCCCTTGCGAATTGAGTCTTAATTTTCCAGCAAAGAACTGAAGACCCATGAGTGTGAAGATGTACACGAATAGTAGCATTAAAATAATAAAAGGGAAGATAGCTTTAATAGTCTTTGTTAAACAATCAATTTGAATTCTGAGTCCTCCTACTCTGAATAGTTTGAAAATTCTGAATAGTCTAAATGCTCTGAGTGAGGTATAAGCACCACCTCCTCCTGATAATGTAAGCTCAATGTAGGAAATGAGGACAATAAAGACATCAAAGATGTTAAATTTATCTTTAATGAATTCTTTGAAGCCAAGGCCAATCAAATTCACGACTAATTCTAGTGTGAAAATTGATATAAATGCATAGTTAAAATATTCTAGAGACTTTATCTCGACTGTTCCACTACTTAAAGTGTACATATCCAGTCATAGAGTGACAGTATTCAGACCAATTATTATGAAGATGAACAACTGGAATGAAGGATGGTTCACCAACCGATACATAAATTGGATAAATTTGCTATGAAAATATTTCCCCTCTGGATATTTGACCTTGTTTTTCCAGTTTCATAAACTTTTGCAATAATTCTTTCAAGCACTGAATTTTCCAGCTTTAATTCTTATGTCTAAAAATGAGGAAAACTCGCCATACCGACAATGATGTCATTATTAATGATAATTCCGGAGACTGAAGAATGAATTCCTAATTCTTCAGCTTTCTCTTCAAGTTCTATCAAGTCTTCATCCTGTTTATCCTGGCCAGCTGCATCATAATTATCAAACAGGACTGCGACAATAATGTTCATGAATAAGATTGCTCACATCAAGACCAGACTGACAAAATAAACGGAGGCTATTAGAGTTCCTGTCGCATCTTGATAGTTGTACATTAAATCGCTCCATCCTTCCAAAGTAAGACATTGAAAAACAGTGATGATTGCATAGAAGATATTATCAAACCCAACTTGGCCATATTGCAGCTCTTCTATTCTGAGGTCTTTATAAATACTATAGTTTCAAGTTTAGAATCGTTTATAAAGCTATGTTTTCAAGTTTCATCTTACCTTTCACCTTTTAAGTTCAATGTCTCTGGGTGATCGTCATATTGCTTTATTAATGAGCCTCAGTAAGATCCTACTGGACAGGCGAAAGCATCTCATGGCCTTGTGTGGCTTTCTAGGACAATCCACTCTCCATTTACAGGTTCTGGAGTTGTATATCATCGATAATGTAAACTCCCTGACCATAAAGTGACGCCCAAAATTGAGAAAATATAAAAGAATATAACAGCAACGATAGCCACTTCTCCAAGTTTTGACAGAGAGTCTAGAATAGTTCCAACAATTGACTTCATTGCAGGAAATGAACTGAAGCTTCTTAGCGGCTTAAAGAGTCTAAACATCCGTATGAATGAAATATTATCAATAGATGGTACTAAAGATAGGATACTAGTGCAAACGACTATGAAGTCGAGTGCATTCCATCCATCTCTCAAGTAAGTTTCTTTATCTAGCACAAAGCCCTTAGCTATAACCTTCATGATTCATTCAAATAAGAACAAGATTGAAAATATGGGTTCTGAATAGATGACGATCTGGTTCCTGATGGACTTGTCATGAGGATTTTCATAATCAAAAACTCCAAGAAGGAGTGAATTTACAATAATCACAATTATTACAATCATTTCAAAATACCAAGATTCGGATATTTGGATACACATTCTTCGAAGCTTGTTGTCAGGCCCGAACAAATATACAGAAATGTTATTATACTCAAATTCTTTCTGTTCTTCAATAACAATTTCACTGCTGAGAACATCAGCTATTGAAGGAAATTCCAAAGTTTCTTCTAAGGAATAATTAAATCTCTCTGATTTCATATCAGGAAACGATACTTGAGATGGTCTATCAAAACATGTTATTTTTATATACGTACATTGATTTATAATTTAAATCTTTCTAAAATATGACCTTACCTCTGAATTCTTTGAGTTGATGTTAACGTATTCCTCCTTGATTCTTCGTTCATCTTTATGAAAATTAATTCTTAATTCAATAGAAGGAGATTTATATGGGGTTTTGGGGTTTTGGGGTTTTGGGG